CTGAGCTATGTCCCCAGCCCCAAGAAAGGATTTGTCAGTATTACGTGCTTCCTTCTGTTCCTGTGTCTGCCTGTGAATATGAACCATCTCCTTAGAGACCGGAGATGCCTCCACTGCCTTCTCAGAGTGAAATCCCAAGCAACAGCATCAGTTCCACCAGTCAACTCATCAGTTGGGGGCCCGAGCCAAGACTTACTGAATCAGCAACTTGGGGGCCCAACAACCCATGTGTTAGTAGCCCTAGTTCCTGTGTGACCTTGACAGAGTAAAGTTGGAGAAACACTGAGTAATGAAAGTATTTAGGATCTGGGGGTGCAGTCAGTGGTAGAATGCTTGCCTACCATGTGCAAGGCCCTCGGTTCAAACAGAGAAACGCAAAAAGAAACTAATACCAGAATGAAGCAATAGTAACTACTGCTTCTGCGGTGTTGGTGTGTTTCTAGACTTTGTACTGTTTTTATGGGGATATTTTATTTAATCCTCAGGAAGGGCTTCGTATGTCCATCTCTACTTTGAAGGTGAGGTAGTGAGGAGTCTCAGTAGTGTTCCTAAAGCCGGAGCTGGAAAGTGGTAAGCCCCATCTAGATTCAAACTGCAGCCCTTCTGTCCCCACCTTCACCTCTCCAGAAGACACTGTCATAGACAGTAAGCTCAGCCGAATGAGAAGCTGTGCTCTAGACTGATCAGTCAGCACACGGCCATGGAGCCACGTGATCTCCTGACAAGCCTCGTCATACCGTGAGTACCTCTTAGTATTGATGGACATTTTTTTTTTTTTTTTGCATTCTGGCAATCGGCTCACCCTAATGAAATATTTAAATATACATAAGTAACCACCATGTTCATAAACAAATTAAGTTCTGCAAACCATAACAGGCATATTTACTCACCAAGTTAATAAGCATTCTTAGTATTTTGGGAAGCAGCTGAGAAGTACACTGAAGAGCAAACTGAGCAGGGTGAGTGTGCATAAAGAAACTAGTATGACAGCAGAACAGAACACCGCCCTGTCAGACCGGAAGTGCACATTCTCCCGAGCTTGCTCCTGACTCCTGCTCCCTGAGCCATCAAACACTGCTGGTCTCCACCTCTGATCCCGCCCTTCTTTCCAGAGGAGACTCCAGTTCTCTCCAGAAGACTTATGCCTGAGGTATGAGGACTTTTAGAAGTTCTGGTTCAATACCCAAGGAACTAGCACTGCTATTCTTGCTGCAGCCCCTGCTAGCCTTATTTCTCAGGTTGAAGAATTCAGTCCAGCCATGATTCTAGGTCCCTGTCCTAAACTTGTAGGTCAATATGAGAAACGGAGTCTCCATACTGAAAATTACCTGACCCCACAGACCAACAGTGCTGCTGCTGAGAGATACTTCCCTAGACAGAGTGCTCCAAAATAATGAACCCACTTAGGATCTGCGGAATGTTGGCTATGTACTAGGAACACAGAAGTGAAGTAAGCATACAGAAATCCCTCTCCTCTTGGATCCTGCATGCAGGGTGAGGGAAATGGCTATAAACAGAACCTGCAAGGGCTGGGGAGATAGCTTAGTAGCATAAGCACTGGTCTGGTAAGTGCAAGGTCCCAAGTTCTATCGCTGGTACCAAAAGCAAAACAAAACAAAAAAACAACCAAACAAAAAACAATGTGCAGTCAAATGCTATGGATTGTTGGGAGGTAAGAGACAGGACATGTCAAAACTAGGACTAGTGATACTTTGGATAGAATGATCAGAGAAAGATAATGGCAGTTGATATAAGACGTGAATGAAGAAAGAACAAGAATTACCTGGAGAAAAGACATTCTAGAAGTAAGACCAGTAAGTGCAAAGTCCTGAGGTAGCAAGTCAAAAGGGAGAGAGGTGAGGAGAATGCTCTGCCTTCCTTCAGTCACCATTATTTTGAGACAGTTCTGTGTAGAGCAGAGTTTCTCAGCAGCAGTGCTCATGGCACTGCAAATGTAATTCTCCAGCGTGTGGACTGTCCTGTGCGTTGAAGCATGGTTAGTAGCCACCCGGACCTCAATCACCAGATGCTATCTGCCCCTGCTCCTTGCCCCAGGTAAGGCAGCCAAAACTGTCTCTGGACACTGACAGTAGTCTTAAGTGGGCAAATGCATCTGACAGCACCACTAGGTCAGTGTCAGGCTGGGTAAGCTAGTGTAGTGCTTGCCGTCATCATTATTACTTATAAATTACTGAACATAGATGTTTGGAAATGCAAAACTAGTCTTAATGAAACCTAAGTAATATCTGAAGCCATCAATAAGGTAAAAAAGTTTTAACAAATTATTATTTGATTAAAATAAGTAATGATAATTGTGCAGTAAGTGCACATTATTTAATATGGTTTATTTGTCTTAACTATTTTATTTATCTAAGAATAAACATGAGAACATACCAAGGTCCTCAACCCAGACCTCTTTAAACATAAGGACCCTGAGCACAGCATATGTGTGGTTATTAAAATAACGTTCTATTGACTGATCTGAGTTAATTTGAATTCTAATTTAAAAATGTCAGCCATATCAAACAATAATATATTGCCTTTTCACAATATACACCTTGGAAAGTTTCACAACTTGGCAATTTTTCCAATGCTTTATTTCTTGCTAATTTATATCTTTTTCTAGGAAACTTTGGCAAACTTTCAATTTCTAAAAATTTGTAACAAGTCATTTGAAGAAGAGTTCTATAAATAAGGAGCTGAATGTTTTTTCTGTTCTTTCAATAAAACTACATATAATTTATTTTATTTATTTATTTATTTATTTATTTATTTATTTGTGTGTGTGTGTGTGTGTGTGTGTGTGTGGCCAGCTCAGCCCACCTGGGGGCGGGGCTGGCTGGCATGTGGTGCTGGGGGATTGAACTGCGGTCCCTGTGCTTCGCTAAGCTTGTTCTAAGTAGGTGCTTTAGACCACTGAGCCATCTCACCAGCCCAAAACTATATATAATTTATTATTGCTCAAAAAAATTATTTAAAAACGTGGACCTCCTTATATTCTCACAAGTGAGGAAGGATCCAGACATTTATTTTAATGTTTTAGGCAATGATGGCATGCTGGGGAGACTGACTCAAGCTAATAAGAAGAGTTTTTCTCTTCTTAATTTTGATTTAAAAACAGCAATTGTACTATATTATCGTCTGTTAGTTCTATACTGTTTTATGTTTTTCCCTTAAAAGAAAACATTAACCCAAACTGCTTATAAATTTAAGTTGAGGACTTCTTACAACATACCTTTAAAACTAAGCAATAGTCAGTAGGGGCTTTGTATTTCATTTTGTACTGAATCCCATAGTAAACGTTGACATTTTCAAACTGTATAAAACAAGCCAGATCTCGGGACGTCTGAAAGAGAGGGGAAAGATGATCTCAACTGAGATGACAGCTAATGATTTTCCAAGGTTGTTCTTGATGATACCACAAAGGATTTCATTTTAGTAGAGAAAATATTGAATTTTTAGATAATTTATATTAACATTGATCACATATACTGTCATATTCTCCAAGCCAAGCCTACATAAAAGATGGAAGACAGGGTGCAGCTCTTGTGTGCCACATGCTCCCAACAGGACAGAGTGAAGGGTGATGCTGTTGTCACAGCACCAGACTGCGGACTCCAGGGTCAGAGCCCACTGACCTTGTGGCTGTGGATTCAGCCGAGACATGGTGACCAACGACTGGAAATCTCATTTCTGTTTTTGCCACTGTAATAACAGATTTGTGATTGAACATTTAAAAAAAATTCCTCTCAGGATGAACAACTATAGGTAAATCTGAGGCTCAGTAAATTAGCACGCACACCATGCACTTCTGAGCAAAAGGCTTTCTTCTGTACTGCCTCTGCACGGTTGCCATGGAAACAGAGCCTCTCACACATAATATGCCTAGTGAAGATGGCAACCTCTAATCTACATATTTGGTTACACTTCAGTTATACATTTGTTCATTATTCTTTTTTTCATTTGCATTCTATAAATCTTTACCCAGTTAGAGAATAATCAAAGGCAGCACTGCTACACCTAAGTGCACAGTTTTTCCTTTGTATAAAGTGTTTTATTTTTTTATTTTTTAAGTGTTTGATTTTTCTTATATTTTCAGCTGGATGTTTTTCTCTGCACTGAAGATGGACCCCAGGGCCTTTACCTGCTCAGCAAGTGCACTACTACTGAGCTGTAGTCCCAGCCCCAGACGAAGTTTTAAAAACATGAATGAGAGTATGAACACCACTTCTTGGTGTATTCTTTTTCTTTTTATTACTACGTGTGTGCAGTTCATAATGATCATGTTCCCTCTGTATAGGAATGTAACACATTTTAATTGCTTTTCATCCTCTCCAGCCTGCCTTCTCTAACGCAGGGAGAGTCTCACGGTGTAGTTCAGGCTGGCCTTGAACTGGGTAGCCCAGGATGGTCTCAAAGTTACAGATCCTCCTGCCTCAGCCTGCTGAACGCTGGGATTACAGGCATGTGTCCCCACACCTGAAATCCCCCTTCCATCTCTTGGCCACCTTACATTTGAGAAAGATTTCTCTCCCTACTTCCTATTTTCTATTTTATTTTGTTCTTTATATTTTGGGTTTCTCATATGAGAGAAACCATGTAATACTTCAACTCTGTGACTGATTTATTTCACTTAACATTATGGTCTCAAGTCATTGTTTCTCTAAACGTTATATCTTAAGACATTTTATGGGTATGCAGCATTCCACCTTACAGGTGTAACAATTTACTTTTAACCATTATCCCTTAGGTGATTGGAGGTTAGGTCAATATTTTGCCATTACAAAAACTACTGTGCAACGGATCAGATATTTCTGTTGGATGAATTGCCAGACATGCAGCTCCTCTGCATAGGTCTTGCCAAACCATCCCAGATGTGACTGTACCAGTTCATATTACAACCTTTCATGTACAAGAGTTACTTCAAGCACGATGTTTTTTCTTATCTACATCCACCAAAACTGGGTATCAATGTTAATTTATGAATCTTCTGTGGGGATATAATATCTTCTGATTTAATCTACACTTTCCTGATTATTGGTAAGATAACTTCTCCTTTTTTCATTGTGTTGCTGAGGATCAGATGCTGGGCTTCCTACCTGTAGGATGGTGCTTTACTGCAGAGCAACTCTCGGTCCAAGAAGGAGCTTTTATTCTATGGCTATCAGTATTTCTTTTTTTGGTAAATTCTCACTGAGTAAATGTCTCCATTTCCCACTGCCCTTCTCCCCCTCCTCTGTCTTGTCCTCTCCCTTTGCCTTCTTCCCCTCCCTTCTCTTCTGCTTGCTCTGTCCCTCTCAGTGCAACCAGGGCTGTGTATATATATGTCAGACCAGAGCTGCAGCATGAAGCTACATCGCTAGCCAAGAGCTATTATTTGTTGAAAGGGTTTTCTTCTTTCAAGTGGGATCTTGACTGGTTGCTCAGGCTGGACTTGAATTTGAGACCTCCTGCCTCAGCCTCTTGAGTAGCTGTGATGACAGATGTGTGTCACATGTCATGTAACATAGCATGGTTTGCCATTTTTTTCAAAGAGGTATATTTATCTTTTTGTAGTTGATGTGTTGAAGTCTTCATATATTATGGATACTTGTACTTGGTTATGTTTGCTGCCCATATGGTCTCTGGCTCTGGAGTTAAGTCTTTAATCTCTTGTTTGCTATCTTTGGCTATCAGGAATTTTAAAAAATGAATTTTTATTTTTGATTAAGAAAGCTTTTCTCCACCTCAAAATTATAAAAATATTTTCTCCTACAGCTTTATACTATTTTTGCAAGTATATATTAATCAATCTAAAATTTAGTTTGGTACATGGGTAAGATGGGAAAATTTTTTCCCCAAATGACATATAATATTTTAATACTATCAAATAAATACTATTTCCTCAGTACTGTAAGCTGTTTTTTTTTTTTTTTTTCCGGAACCAGAGATTGAACTCAGGCCCTTGTGCTTGCCAGGGAAGTGTTTATTCTACTGAGCCATCTTCCCGGCTCCTTGTAAGCCTGCTGTTTAATTTTCTTTATCTTTGCTGGCTTTTGGTTTATATGATCATCTCTTGTTAGGCTTTATTGATTGTTTTGATCACTGGGAGAAGGAGTTCTAGCTCATTACTCTTCATAATTTTAGGAGTCTCCTGGAGCTGTCTATCTTCTTATTAATTTCAGAATCAGTGAATTTCAAATAATATAATCTTACTGAAATTTAAACAGAGATTCAATTGATTTACAGGAAAATTCAGGCAGAGTGACCTTTCACTGAGCAGCAGGGTCTGTTGCTATTTCTGTGGCTCTGTTTTACTTTTTTTTTTTTTTTTTTTTT